CTCGATCCCAGGACCCTGGGATCATGACTGAGCCGAAGGCAGACGCCCAACCAACTGAGCCACCCAGGCGCCCAAAATAAAATCTTAAAAAAAAACAAAAAAAGATATTACAGCACCAGGAAGCACAGAGGTGCTGTGTAGCCATTGAAATGAGTGAGGTAGAGTCATGTCTTCTGAAATGGAATGACCAACATGTATTATTTTTTAAACCGGAGTTTAATTTTTTTTTTAAATGAGACTCACCAACATTCTTAAGGGAGACCTGTGAAAACAATCAAATTTGAAGGACTCCTAGAACATAAAATATCTCCCCTTACACCTGATAACGTTAGATTGAAAAACACAGGCAAACTTCCAGACCCCCAAAGAGAGAGACGGCGCATGCTCTGACAAGACTAGTGGACCGCTGGGTGCTGGGCAGTCCAGTAGGCCCTGCACAAGCTCAGTGACCGGTTCAGACCCCCAAACTCCAGGCTTCAGAAAAATCACACGCAGGTATGTGCCATAGACCTTTGGGGGTACTCACAAGTCATCAGATCTCCAAGGGTCGAATCCAGGAGCACTAGGCCACCTGGGTACGGTCCCCCTGGCCTGGGCACACAGGTCGCGCTGGCGTGAGCAAACATACAAAGCGTGGAGATGACAAGGGTGTCTGATGTGTGTTATGGCTGCAGATGGCCCGGGAGGGCAGGGCAGATGCATTTGTACAAACCACAGAGGGAAGAGAAAGGGTAAACAATTCGCTGATTTCTGCTTTTCTAGTTTTTTTTGGTCCTTGCTTTCCAAGGCTAATTGTTTCTGTAAGGCTGTAATCTAATTAGAGACCTCAGCGTAAGGAAATGTCTGTCACAGCAGGTGCCAGTCCCACCACCTTCCTCCCTCAGGACAGAGCAGGTGGAGATCAGGGAGAAGGAGGCTGTGAGTCAGGCTGTGCTGATAAACCAGGGGCCTCAGGCAGGACACTGCATGGTTCCAAGTCCGTTTCCTCCGCCCTAAAATAGAAGTCAAGGTTCCGTCTTTCTGGGGTATTGTAAGACGTAAATGAGCACCCTGAGAAACAGTCTTATCGCAGGGCCTGGCGCAGGGTCCGCGGCCGCAGCAGTGACAACGGGTGGTGGTCAGCAAGCGTTACCCGCACTGCCAGGTACCTCGCCACACCCTCAGCGGTGGTCACTGCCCGCTTCTGTCTCCTGCTTCACCCTGCCTGGCCCTCCCCGGGCAAGAGTCCATTGTCTGATGAGTAGCCTGGGAAATCGGAGACTAACTCAGGTTTGCTCTTGTCCTCCCTTGCACATTGGCCGTGCTAGATGTTTGAGACAGATTGTACCCGGCGGAGGGGAGGCCCAGGGGATGTCACTGGGCTGAGACTGGGGAGAACAGCTGTAGGAATTTTCACAGAATTCCTGAGAACAGGCTCTCTCTAATCCGAGCCTGCGGTTCTCAACCTTACCTGTTCATTACATCCGTGAGGGAGCTTCAGGGAGTTGTGATACCCACTCAGATTAGTATCTGGGCGTAGGGCCCAGGCACTAGTATTTGTAAGCACCCCCCTGCCCCTCGCCCAGGAGGGCTGTGAGTTCCCAGCTACTGTAAGAGTCCTGGGCACGGGAGGCTTTGGGGCTGCCTTGGGAGGACCAGCCTGACGGTTACATGTCCCGGGAGCCCCAGTTAGTTGGAAGAAAGGTAAGCAGACATTTGATCAGAGGTGCCATTAATCAGAAGTGGGTACCGAGCTCATTTGGGAGGCAGGGCAATCTGGTTGAGCTAATTGTATGAAATGTTAGCTTGTTCACAGGAAGACTGGCAAAAAAAGAAAACAGACAAAAGAGGAGTTTTTATCCATGATGGTGGCTTTTGTTTCTCCCTTTTTCTATTCACTGACATAATGAGACTTGTAATTTGTAGGGAAGAAATACAACTCCCGTGGCCGCCCATCTCTGTGGGGAGGGACCTTCAGTGACTTTGGAAAAATAAGCACCTGTCTTGTTCTCCAGTTGCTTTCCAGCTAATTTTGGTTCCCTTTCTTTTGCCAGTTGCCAGAGGCTCCGCCCTCCGAGGAGGAAGAACAGGAAGCCTGGGTGAATGCCTTGCTTGGTAGAATGTTTTGGGACTTCTTAGGAGAGAAATATTGGTCTGATCTGGTGTCTAAGAAAATCCAAATGAAACTCAGCAAAATAAAGGTATCGTTTTCCACACAAGAAGCTTCCAGTTCCTCACATTTCTTAATTTGGAAGTTTTGTATCATTATATCCTAAGTGAAAAATAACTTGGTTTAAAGCATATAACATGAGAACAGCAACATACCTGAGCTGTGACCTTGGCCATATGACTCACCGTACCTGGGGACTTAGTGAATGTTCCTGTTTACTTTTTCCTTTGTGTTGCTCTCATTGTTATCCATTCTAGGTGATAATCGAGAATTTGGTTTGGGAAAATGTGAGCTTTTGTAGCTGGTTTGTCATGTAGACCTCTAGTATCTTGAAATTAGTAAGGAACTTAAATTGTACTTCAGGAGCCCACCCAGCCTCACAGTCTGGGGGCTGCACCATCTCTGCTGAGGAAAGTGCCAGACTCCAGACCTCTTTCCCAAGTCATGCTCCCTCTCAAAGCCCAGAAAGTTAGCATTGCACTCTACATGTGTCTGGGCCTGACCTTTACTTCTGGCCAGATGGTATTTTATTTTGGGCTCTCTCTTTGCTGAAAAACAACAGTCCTGGTGCTGATCAAGGCCCACTTGGAAGTAAGTTTAAACTGCATAAATATTCCTCACCATTGCCACTAAATGACTCATTTAGCACCACCTCCGACAACCCAGAGACATCAGTTAGGTTACGTAGAAGTAAGTTTTTGACCCAGGGAAGACCCAGCCAAGGAAGAGTCCCTTTGGTCCCCAAATGAACTTGCTCAGTCAGCACCCTAATTCCGTGGATCTTTCTGGGTCATAGATACCTTTGAGACACAGAAACGAATGAATCCTTTCCCTAGAAAAATGCACAGTGATGCAGAATTTTGCCCATGACTTCAGAGGGTTCAAGGACTCCAGGTTAGGAAACTGTGAGCTAAGGTAAAATTACATTAGAAGGAAAATGTGGGCATGGAGGAGCTTCGATGTGACTTTTGTCATTCCTTTGGGTGACAAACCAAGCCTCTTAGGGCTCAGTCAAGCTCTGGAAGCTCTGTCTGCCAGCTGCAGGCCGGTGTCATCTCTTTCCTAACCCCTGATGAAGAGGAGAACCGCTGTCTGAGCCGGAAGAGCAGATGTCGAGGCAGAATTTGGGGCAAGGATTTGGGAGGGCTCAGTTGACATGAGTCAGTCTGTTGTTTTTCAGGTAGATTGAGGGTTGAATGCACTCTGCTAGCCAGGTCCAAGGCGGGGAGCAGGAAGCGGCTGTGACCCTCCCATGTTCACAAACAAGCAGCCAAGCTAGAGCTCACGCCACCGCCTCCCCCTTTCTGGAAAACGATGGAGAGCTTGCTGAGTTCCTGGTCAAGACACACAGACGGGGCTGGCGCTCCGCAGGCCCTTCCCTGAGCAGGAGGACTGGGGTTCCCGGCAGAGGGAGACAGAAAGCAGGGTGTGCCTCAACTCCAGACGGGACGCTGCCGTCCCTGTTACACACCTTCCAAAACAGACAGGGCAGCCTCCCCTGCTTCTCTCGGGTGCTGGAAGTCCGTGGAACCTCTGCTGTGTGGAGAACGGTGGGTTCTCTCATCCCAAAGCAAGTTGAGGGAAAGTCTTTTATTTTCATCTTCTCCCTTTGCTGGTCATGTGAGCTTTTTCAGTCTGCAGATAAAACTAGGGTCAGAAGTACTAGAAGGTGAGGATAGAGAAAAGTGGCCTGGATCCAGTAGTGGGCTGTGCTCCCTCCATTACCAGCCTCATACCTCCACCCTGCCCTGCGTGCCCTGCAAGACCAGAGGAGACCCTGGATGTAATGGAATAAACAGAAAGGCAGCAGGATATTACTCTAGTTCAGAACCTGCTGCCACCCCTGCCAAAAGGACTCTTATTATCACCAATAGCCAAATATTCTGGGAAGAACGAAACCTAGTAGTGAGCGTTGGTTAACGGCCAATACAAGAGCCAGAATGGCTGGAGGAGCCTGAGCTGTCCTGTCTGCTGTGACAAAGATCTCTTCTGTCTCCTGGTTTCCCCTGAAGGCCTGACATATGGAGAACTCTTTGCTGGCCTTGCCCTGCAGTCTCAGATTGTCACCCTCACATGTGATGATGACTCATGTTGTGAAAAAGCAGCCCTGTGTGTGTATCTGGTGCCCAGTGATGGTTTAAAACAAGCTGAGTTTCTGCCCCAACAGCAAGTACATTCTTGGCCTCCGCCGGCCCCTCCCAATACCGCCTTGGGGTCCTCAGTCGTCAGGGGCCTCTTGTGCCCATGTCAGCAAATGTTGTTATTGCAGACAGCTTCCAGCAGTTCCTCCCACCAACCTGAGAATGTTCCATACACCTGAATGTCCAGTTGGGTTCACTCAGGAGAGTAAAGAACATGTAGTGGGTTCTCGTCTCACTGTGGTGCCTTTGAAAGGGAAGAAGAGAGTTTCTGGTTGAAAAGAGCTGGAGTGACCTTTTGTTGCCTTTCCCTGCAGAGTAGGAAGGAGGCTGACCAGGCTAGGGCCTGGTCCTGAGAGTTTTGATTCAAATCAGTTGTGATTTGGAGGGGAAGGGTACTTAGAGATGTTCTAGAATCTTGGAGTGGGCACTCAGGTGAATAAGTAGGAAGCGAGGCTCTGCTGAGCCCCTCCTCGAACTACCTGCAGGTGATTAGAGCCCAGCCCAGCCCTGCTGAGTCTTTCCCAGTCCCCGGTCCCTCAGCCCCTTCTTTGTCTCAGGTTCCTCCTCTGCCCTTGCAGGACCACAGGGTGCAGGGTGGGAGGGCTGGGAGGTTGGACAGGGGACTGGGAATGCCATCTCTGCATTCTTTCCCCTTGCTCAGTGTCAGACACCTGTTCCCACAGAAACCCAGCATGCCCCTGACTCACTGAGTATTAGAGTGATAATAATAGACAGTCTGGGGCAAGGGTGCAAGAATTTGGCTACACATTCTTGGCCAGGTAGGGTTCTGTAGGCTGATTGGGAGGCCAGCCACCATGTAACATTGATGCCTTAGAAAAAGGTTTTCCAAATCCAGCAATCACCAATTCAAAATGCACGTTTGAGTACTGTCTTTGGTCACGTTTTGTTCATCACAGACATCATAACTCTCACCGACCCACTCCTGCAGAAAAGCAGAGCAAGAGTTCTCTGGTGAATCATCAAAGTGTATACCTTTGACAACTGAAGAGGTCCAGCCAAAATAGGCATTAAATCTGTGGCTGGCTAAATGCTACCTCCTTTTATGGGAAATGTTCCGCATATATTTATTTTAAAAAGCAGTTTGATGCTGGTAGAAAAACAAGGTGCTCATTACAGGCCCCAGTGTCGTGGGAATCTCACATTTACAGGTGGTGCTACAGGTTAGTGGGGAAAGTATTGGTTGTTCAATAAGACGCCAACGAGCCATTGAGAAAAAAAATTAAGGTGGATCGGTAATTTATATCTTACACTGAAATGAGGAATGGGCTACAGATTAAAAAAAAATAACTATACACATACCTAAATTCAGGTGAAAGAAACAGATGAATTAATTCCACAGTCTTGAGGCAGAGTAGGAATTTCTAAGCAGATTAGTACTCATGCTATTTGCTTTAGAGCGGATTCCTACTGACGCGGTATGAGTTGGGGTCCCAGCAGGAGAAAGATGGCACACTCAAGTGGTGTCACCTGAGAGGAGAGTTTATTAAGGGAAAGACTTATAAATATGGGGGCCAATGTAGAGAAACCAAAAGGGATAGGGTAGGACCCAAGGCTAGCAGCAGCGGGGAGCTGTCAGCACTCCCTGTAGGGGCAAGAGCGGGGAGCAGTTACCAGACCTTGGGGCAGCATGGCTATGTGGAGAGTTGCCTGCCTGACGGGAGCCGTGACCTTCAACAGAGGGAGGGGACAGCTATCTGACAACACTCTTCCCCGAGTACCTCCCATCTTCCCTGCCCATTGGTGTTTCCCACTGGCCAAATCCAGCCAGAAGCCAGAGGGTCAGGGAGCCCATCCATGTGATTTGTCCCCAGCCTCTCTGGGAACTCAAGTCCAGGCAGGGGGGGCAAACAGAAAATGTCCAGCACTGGGTCAAGGGATGTGATTTTCTTTTTTTCCAAGGATTTTAATAAATATTGTGAGTTTGCCTGTCAGAAGTGCTATAGCAATTTCTTGACTCCCCACTGGTAATCTGAGAGGGGTCCACTTCCCCACACTCGAGCCAGCTCCAGGCATTGGTATGGCTGACCGGCATGGCTGGCTTCTCCTCCTCAGTCAGGTCTTTGGCCAACGGCACTCTTCACAGAAGCCTTCACCGACTTCCTTGGCCAACACAGCCACCCTGCCCTACACCCCGGCTCCCTCTATCCCACACCACTGGTCTTACTGTCTCTGGAACACTAATCACTCTCTCAAATGATTTGTCTACTTAATTATCTGTTTCCGCCTCTCCAGCGTAAACCCCGTGAGAGCAAGGACCTTGCCTGACTTGTCCGCAGCTCTCTCTGTAGGATGATGCCTAGTATGCGGTATATGCTCAGTAAATTTTGGTGAAATTAAGGTGTCCCCAAAACCTTGACCTTGACTCCTTCTTGAGCGGATGCTGAATTCTAATGACCAGGTTACTAACGTCTCATTTGTTGTTTACTTCTCTCCTCCAGCTCCCCTACTTTATGAATGAACTAACTTTGACGGAACTTGACATGGGGGTGGCTGTGCCAAAAATCCTTCAGGCCTTCAAGCCTTACGTTGATCACCAAGGTAACTAGCAGAGAATTGACCATTTGTATGAGGGTTGAAATGTCTCCATCACTGCAGATCGAACACCAAAGCTTTGTGTTGGGAGGGGGTCAGGGACGTTTTAAGCATCTGTCTTACATTGATTATCTTTTGTTGTGAAAAGTCACAGCCTTCAACTGATGGGGAACAGATCAGGAATAGATCCCCCTCCTAATTCTTCTAGTCTCTTGGGTCCCTGCTGGTCCTGCCCCAGCCCAAACATGCCCATGTACCCGTTGGCGGGGCCTGGACTCTCGTGTGATTCAGAAAATAGTCCCCGCCCCTCGCGGCCTCCCGTGTGCCCCCTGCAGCCCTCCCCTCTCCCCAGGAACTGCTGCTTCTCCATCTGCGCTCGTGCCTTTGCCCTGCCCCAACTTCTAGGTTGCAGATTCTTTGACCTTCATGTTTCACATCTCGCCTTCCTTCCCACCTCGCCTTCCTTCCCACACCTAGAAGGCGCTCTGTACATGTTTAAAAAAATGAAGACAGATGTTGTCAGCAATATTTTGAGCGTACAGCTCTCTGCTGGGGGAAAGTGCTCAGATTTGATTTTTAAGACACGCTCTTGACACATTATTTACACCTACTCTGCTGGGTTGGGGCAGGAAGAGTTGATTAGGATGTATAGAGCTTAAATAAAATTATGACGTCAAGATTTATGCGTGTTTTGTGGCACGTGGTTTTAAAAGAACCATGATGGAAAAGTTCGTACACAGGAGTGGGGTGAAAAGAGGTGCGAGCCAGGTAGGCCAGAATAGTCCGTGAACAGGCAGGAAAAATCTCCCCACCGTGGAAGCGGTCAACTTCTTTTCTGTAGTATTGCTTTCCACACGCACCTCTTTCCACCTAAACTGGACTGTCATTCCTCAAAAGGCACAGGAACAAGATAGGGGAGAAAATAATTACAACTTTCCAAGAGTGATACTTGTTTTGAATTGTTTTGTAAATTTAGGGACTGTAATGTCTACTTTTGTCCCTGCAGGGCTGTATCAGATGGCTCTTGAATCATATTTAGTGAAATCATTTTCTGTGTTGTATACATTTGATGTAAATACAGAGATTTTTTCTAGCCCTATAATTAGCAGCTCTGATGATCTCTTTAACAATATTTCAGCTGACAGCGAGCCCATATTTCCATGTTTTTAGCATTCCATGGATTTCAGAGATAGAGTATTATTCGCAAATCCAAAAGTCTACCTAATATTTGCATGTTGAGATCACCTGTAACCCTTTGATCATTTCCACACTTTGATAAATCTGTGTGCTCTTGGATTTGGCTAATTTCTGGTACACTGAGGGTAAAACTAGAAAAGATAATTTGCAAATGGTTTAGCTAGAGTTCTTTTAACCGCATATGATATTTTTAAAAGATACATTATGTCTTGAGAACCTAGCTAGGATCTCCACCTCATCTGTGTATGAGGGGTTGCCTGCCTTTCTTCTGGCTCTGGCGGGCTCTGGGCTCCCCTTTGCTCTTTGCCTCTTTGGAGATTGACTTGTAACGAGCTGGTAAATGATCAGCTAACATACACCTCCACAGAGTCAGGCTTAAGGAAAGTAAATAATATGTGGACATGCCCTATTTCCTAATGTGTTAGCAGTTTCTTATCTCTGTCCTTTGTTGAATTAGTAGAAATTTCCAGCAAGAAAGAAGCAGGGCCACAGCTGGGCTTTGCCGCATCTCAGGAGTGTCCCTGTAGCTTTGAACTCTGCGGCCTCCCAGGGCAGCTTTGCCAGGCTTTGAGGGAAATTCACCAAATGCCTAAGTCTCTTTCCTCTTCCTCTGGAGCAAGACATTTCACTACACAGATCAAAGCTTTGCCGGTTTTTAATCCATTTGAGGCTATTTCACTCGTTTCAGGGCAAGTTTTAGACATCTGCCTGCTTATGTAACAAGGGAAGAAATGTTACGAAAGAAAGGAATGATAAAAGACATAAAGCCTATGGGTTTTAAAAGTTTGATCACATTAGGTTTTTCCAAGCCGGCAAAGGATGCATGCGATAGTTAAAGCAGAAATAAACGTAAAGGAAATGTGCTGTTTTGGATTCCATTGCTCTAAGGTAAACTTTTCTTTGAAGGAAATGAAAATCAAGGGTGACGGGCTAAAACTGACTCTGGGAAGCAGAGCTCACCTTCCAGGGAAATGCAGGCCAGGTGAACAAGCCCCCCACAGCTCTAAGGAGGGGGCACCTCCTGGGGGAATCCACCCCCCTCCCACACACACACCCCTACCTTTTTTTTTCTTTCTTAAATGTTTCCTAACTTGTGCTTGTTTGTTGGAGGCACATGGCTGAGGGGTGGAGGAGGGTGGATATTCGGGCCAGAGCCGGATGGATCACTGCATCCTCGGGATGAGGGATGAGCTGTGGTTCCGAGCGCAGCTCTGGGGCCGGGGCTTTGGGATTCACAGCTCTGCGGCTGGAGGGGGGGGTTCCATACACCCCGCTAAGCACTCTCTCCAGTGGGAAGCCTGTGAGTCGGCAGGCGAGGCTGGTCTGAGGACCGAGTGAGTCAGCGCGTGCGAGGCGCCTGGAAGGCGAGCGCGGTACGTGCTGGCTGTTCTTCCTTTTACCATCAGCAGTGGCTCCTTCACTGCTGCTCCTGGAGAGTCTAGAATGTGGGCGGCTGCGGTGCCCAGTTGACCCTTTTACAGGAATAAATGGAAAGAAAGAGGCCATTCTCAGATGTTGTGGCCTTGCCACTAAAAGGAGCGACGTCTGTAGTTCTGAAATCCCCTGTTGGCCACCACAGGCCTCTCCCAAGTCCCAGGACAGCCAGCCAGTTTCTCAGGTTGAATGACCGGCTTTCCCAGGCGCGTCTTCACTCCCCACCAGCGGCGGGTGGCTGGAAGAGAGCGAGCTGTCCCTTGGAAACTGGCCGCGCCCCTCCCGCCTCTTCTCTGAGCCCGGCCCACTCCCTACGCACCTCTGACCCGGGGCCGTGGAGGGGGGGGCACAGTGGGCCCAGACGCCCCAGGGAGGCAGAGCAGTGCCTGCAGCCATGTCAGCCAATGTCAGGATGAACCACGGGTGTGGACTGTGACCCCTCAGATTCAGATGCATTTAGGCTTCGGGACGTTTGGCGCATGTATGTAAGTCTGCAGATAGGCACTGAGTGTCCCCCACAGAGCGCCGTACTGCTTACACCCAGTTTCGAGATACCAAGTAACAGCCCGAGTTTTGACAGAAGGTGTTGGATTCTGTGGTAGGAGTACCATGTCCCACAGGAACAGGAACCTTGTCTGCTTTCAGAGAGGCGCTTGGTCGTGACTGGTGGTGTCCACCATCAGCGACTTGTCTTCTGGCCCTTAACATTTAGTGCCTGGTGTCTTTATCCAGTGCTGAGACTGAAGTTACTTTGCCACCGAGTATTGCAGAAAACTGGAACCAGAGTCCGTCTGTGACCTGCCCATTCCTTCCACTGTGCCCTTGTCAAGAGCATAGAAGAGAGGGGCAGCCCAGGGCTGAGCACAGTACAGGCCAGACCGTGGGGCTCAGTGCTGACAGGCGTGGCCCCACACACTCCGACCAGAGCATGTGGCAGAAAGGAAAATTACTTTTTTTGTGGAAAGGGAGAGAAATCCCGTTTTGTGGAACTTGGTTGGGGTGCAAGAGAGGAGACTCTGACTTGCGACTAGATCAACCTTGAGAGGCGGAGCTGTTTCTGAGAACAGTTACAGGTAGACAGAATGGCATCTGTCCTAAAAGACACATTCACATACAAGGAATGCTAGTTTTCTGTGGTATATGAGTGAGTAATATGGCACCAGGAACAAAACAATCACTGGTATACTTTTCTAAGAACCTATAACTCCCGCAGCTGTTCTTGGTAATATATTATTAAATGTTCCATTTTAAGAAGTTTGTTCTTTGGATGCCAATGTTGCCTCTCGAAGTGAAAGTCAGCCAGTAGTATTTACAGTTAGAGAGAAACGGAGGAGCAGATAACATGAGGGCCAGGCTCAGGTGAGCAAGGCTTTGGGTTCTTTTACCCCTTCTAAGTGGCAGGTACCCCGTTAAGCCTACTTTAATAGTAATAAAACAGTGAGCTGCCGAGTGAAATTACTAGATCTACGGGGCCACAGTTGGACTGTTCCTGAGGCCGTGGCATCTATCAAACAGAACACTAGGGAAGGCTGATGGACCTCTAGTCTAGCTGTCCCTGGTGACACGCACTAAGGCGTGCTCACCTCCCGTGGCGCCACTGTCAGTCTGGCCCAGGTGGCCGCGGCCATCTTTGTTCATCTTCGAGCATCAGGTGCCTGAGTGCGGGGATTCGTCTCAGTGCCGTTAGTCCTGATGTCTCGCACTGAGAGCTCGAGGAACATTTTGGGTAGAGCAGGCTGTAGCTTTTGCTGCAGTCTCCCCTCCGAGTGGTGGTGATGGTAGCTGATGCTGCCCTCAGCTGAAGAGTGGAAAACCGCCCTCTGAGCTCCTCGCAGGTCCTGGCATGAAAACTGACTGAAGTTGTCGTCAGTTTGTTCCCCATGTTGCCAGGTGACAGGCTGGTTTTATAGGGACCTGTTGGTAATCAGCTGCCACTCTTCACCACTGGACGTCCTCGTCCTTGTCACATGAGGACCCCTTGTGTGGGAGGGATCTGTTATGGACTGAATGTTTGGGTCTCCCCTGTCCCTCCACCCCCAAATTCAAATGTTGAAGCCCTAACCTACAATATGATGATATTTGGGGAAGCGACTAAGCTTAGATGAGTTCATGAGGGAGGGGTCGTCATGATGGGATTAGTGCCCTTAGGAGCAGAGACCAGCGAGCTAGCTTGCTCTGTCTGCCATGTGAGGACAACACAGTGAGCAGGCAACCTTCTGCAAGCCAGGAAGAGAGCTCGCAGGAGGAACTAAACTGGCCAGCACCTCAATCTTGGACTTCCAGCCTCCAGAGCTGTGAGAAAAAATGTCTGTTGTTGAAGCCGCCCCGTCTGTGGTATTTTGTTATAGCAGCCCAAGCAGACCAACCCAAGACCCTTTGTTTCCACGGCCTTTCTGGAGAACCTCTAAGAGTACTGACGGCCTTACTCCTATTTAAGGGCTTTAAAAATTGTCCTGCTCAACTTCTGGTTTTTGTCCCTGAGCACTACCAAGAGCAGATGGTTGTAGAAAGCAGCATTTTAAATGAAATGCCTCACAAAAGAGTCTTAACATTTGTCAGGAGCACAAAAGAAAAAGCTCTGCAACCACATTCATCTAGACGAGTAGCATTCAGCTAAGTTAGAGTTAAGACACCCCTCGTGGAACAGTGTGTGTCCCCATCCTTACATTGTTGATGCATTTGTCCCCACAACGGGAAGACGGGCTCCCGAGGAACTGTGAATTTCATCTTTCAGTCACACAAGGCAGGAGCCTCCTGACTCACCCGTTATATAACATAACCGCTCGGTCTCAGCTCCAGGTTGTGTGTGCTCCAGGGTTTTCAGGGTGCTCTTGGGCTCACTGAATCATTGTCACAGGGGCAAGTTTTTCTTTGCACCTAATGTTAAAATAGTCTCCTTACCCTCATCTAAATGCAAGCATGTCATAGTAAAGTAATTTGTTGGAATGGTTGCAGTCTGTATCTGTTTTTAAAAGTTCTCAAGCCTTTCTTGACTCCTTCATATTCTCCCTGAGAGCCAGGGCTGAACAAGGCTATGGGGGTGGGCCTGTTGGGGTATGAACAATGATATAAAAAAACAGACCCCACTGCTCATTCAGAGTCTTGGTCGGAGGTGCATGTTTCGTGCCCTCCCCAGGCCAGACAGGGCTCTCTGCCTGCCCGGTGCCCCCTTGGCCCCGCGACCTCCTCTGGTCTGGTCCCCATCTGCCATGGCAACCGCAGGAAGCGCGGTGGGAGCAGAGAGTCCCAGAAGTAAGGAAGTGGGCTGGTGACAGCAGAGAGAGGGAAGAGCCCTGGCTGGGAGGGACCCAGCCCTCCCCTGAAGAGGCATTGTGGTCCCCCTTGTGCATATGAGGAGGCTGGTGAACAGAGGTCTAGAAACTTCAGTGGAGCTCAAGCCCTGGTCTGAGTGACAGCGCTCCACATGCATCTTCCCTCTGCCTGCCTCCCTCCTGGCAGAGGGAGCACTGGCCCACATATCCCCGGGTGGGATGTCCCAGTTCCTGGGTGTAAGCCAGCTGTTTACTAAGCTCTAGCCACATCCCCTCATTTAAAAAACAGACAAAACCTTCTACTTTATAGGAAGTAAAATTCTGATGCCTTTTTTAGAACAATCCTCAAAGGCAGTACATACTATTAATATTTATTAGAAACCTGACCAGGATTTTCAAAAGAAGTTATTTCTGAATACATACAGGAGCCAGGTAGTTGGAGCCTGTCGATTCTCTAGTTTAAAAAAAGGTGGAGATGGGGTGCCTGGGTGGCTCAGTCGTTAGGTGTCTGCCTTCGGCTCAGGTCATGATCTCGGGGTCTTGGGATCAAGCCCCACGTCGGGCTCCCTGCTCCGCGGGAAGCCTGCTTCTCCTTCTCCCACTCCCTCTGCTTGTGTTCCCTCTCTCGCTGTGTCTCTCTCTGTCAAATAAATAAATAAAATCTTAAAAAAAAAAAAAAGGAGATATTCTACAGCAATAAATATCTTCTTTATTGATGTTCTATATTGAGTTTAAAGCCTATTCATATCTAGCCTTTGCCCTATTCCCTTTCCACTAGAAGTGATTAATGACTGTCTTCATTAAAGCAGATGTCCCCTTTGTTTCCAGTAACAGTACCTTTGAAGAGCAAGCTAAATGATGATTTTTAACTGCTTAATATAAGCAAGAAATAAAGCAGTTTTGTGAGTTGCTACAAACAAGACAGTCACAGTTGACCTGCACATCACTTAATGTCATTCGTGGAAAACAGTTACCTTCAATTATGATAAAAAGAATTTGTTGAAAACAAAATGGGAACCGTTCCGCCTTTAGTGAAGAATTACACCATTAGTGCTTCTTGAGGTTAAGCAAAGCTTTTATCTGAAATGGTGGCCAAATAGGGGCTAGGTTATTTACTGTAATTGCTTGAAAATGCTGCTGTGTTTCAACGATGCTTTTAGATTAGTTTCCTGCTTCCTTTTAGATGTTGTCATGCATCTTATGAGGATCTATGAAGTTGATTAGCATTTAAACACCCACTTGAAGGATCCCATTTTGATTGCAAGTCCATGAAGTGTTATGGAACCCCGAGTCTGAAAACTCGCAGCATAGCATGTTCTACCCCCAAATCCCAGAGTCCTGGTGTGGAAGGTCAGGTGATGATCCCTGATGGCATTTTAGACTTCTGGTCAGTGGCCGCTTCTGTTGGTGGCCCATCCCAGTGAAATTCCACAAAGCTGAAAGCTTCTAATGTATGATCTCACTGACACTGGTGTCTTTTCTAAGGAACGGGGTTTTAAACTAAGGTACCAAGCGGTTTCCCCACTTTATCTGGATAATTCTGGGGCTTGAACATTAATTCTTTCGTCCATTACTAAGCAATTTCCAGAAAGAAAAGGTTGCTAAAAATGTTTGTCCCGCTCCTTATCATACCGAGCTCAGGCTGAAGCATTTCCACTCCCCCACCAACATGAGATCATTTGAAGGCAGTGGTTCTCACGTGCATCTTTAAAGAATAGGCCAGCATTCAGTGAGGTCTCTGCACCTCTCTTCTGCCTCATAACTGGCTGGGAATCAGCAGACTTTGTCCTGGCTTTGCCCTGGGTCAAGCCATCTTCCTGTTGGGAGTGTATTTTCTTACTAAATGTGAGAATGAACCCAGAGAACGGGACCCCTCCAGCGCTGACAGGTGCACTGAGCTCACCGTTTTAATGGATATTCACATGTTGGCAAGTTGACAAACGCCTGAACCATTTCCAGGGGCTTGTCTTTTCACGACCTCCTCTTGCATGCATTGGTAGTACAGGCGATATAAATCTACAGACTTTCAATGTGATAAATACAAATTTTAATACTGTCATCTATAGTCATGTTCTTCTGGGAGGAAAAAAAAAACTTTTGTTTTTTTCACCATTTCTCCAGGACTCTGGATCGATTTGGAAATGTCCTACAATGGGTCCTTTCTGATGACTCTCGAGACCAAAATGAATTTGACCAAACTAGGTAAAGAGCCTCTTGTTGAAGCCCTGAAGGTTGGAGAAATTGGCAAAGAAGGGTAAGGGGCCATATGAATTTACTAATCCAACCCTGGGGAACCAAGCTCTCCCTCTAGTCTTTGAGAAGCAGCTTCGATGTGTAGTGAGCTTCCATGCATGTGCTTCTGGACCACAGAGGATTTCAGGAAATGATTCCCTACTCTCAGCCCCCAAAGACTGTGAGTCCCCACCTCTGCTCAGCACCTTGTGGCCTCAGTGCTCCCAGTGGGGCGCACACAGCATCACTTACCCAGAAAGCATCACTGACTCGGACTGGTAGGGCAGGCTCATCTGCACAGTAAAATGCTCTGTGTAGAGAATCATCATCCAGAAACTTCCTCCTCCAGCTTGCAGCCCCAAACAGCATTGTGTGGGCAAGGCTAAGGTCCCTAGGGGGTCCGTCTGCTTTAATCACAGAGTCTGAATTATTTCTAATAAGACAATTGATTTTATAGCCAAGAGGGTGCTCCTAAGGCGTTTTGAGATGAATTTTCCCTAAATAATACAGTATTGATTTGCTTAGTAGTAAATTCCTCTCTTTGTAGAAGATACTGCATCTGCTACCCAGAGTTTGTCTGATTTAGTAAATATTGCGCATTTGTGAGATAGTTAATGAAGGTTAATTTTTTTCCCCCCTTAGATGCCTAGAATGGGTAAGCTGGAACTTTACATTCCCATACACCTTAAAAAAGACTGCTTCTGACCACAAATTTAAATTATATTATTGTTTTGACCAAACTAAAAATGCTGAGTAGAGTCTATTTCTCACATCTTTATCCCTTTGGCATGGAATTAACAGTACGTTGACAGAAAAACCCCACAAGGAGCCACCTTCTCAGGGTCTAAATATAAGACACGCAGACTCTTAGCTTTTTGCTTAGTTATGATGCCGACCTAATGCTTATATTCATACATGCGGTCATAGCAAACGGGGGCGGTCGTACATTTGAGAATGTGCTTTTACTTAGATTATTCTGATTTAATGAAATAATTGGAAAATTTCCCCGCCTGTATGAAATCTAACCTGTATCTGTGCTATTTTCCTTTCGTTTTTCTGCTATTTGTTAAAATGTGTTTGGATTCGGCAATCTGTGGATTGTATTTTCTGGTGAGTGGTGTTTATCAACTCTCCATGTAGCATTTCATACCCTGTAGGTGCTGAGTCTTGTTTGGTCCCATGTGATGCCACTAGGAAGCTTGTCCTTTCATCATGTTCCTGGACATAAAGGCTCAGTGTGTAGACCTAAGAGGATTGAGGTCAGAGTATTTAAGAGGCTTTCTCGGGAGGGAAAGTCTTGCCAACTTCCCTGATCTGAGTTGCTGGGGTTTTGGTCTAGTTCTCTAATCAGACTCCGTTTCCTGTGTCTGGACGCCCCCACCCCACTGCCAGGTCTGTAAGACAAAGCACGCGTCCGCTGCCCGGCCTGTAAGACAAAGCACGGTGGGCAGAAGCAGCCTTGAAAATGAGGTCTAAATACCCAGGAGAAGGACAGAGCAAACTTCAGGCAGAAGGACTCCATTCTGGAAACAGCCCTGTGCCAGCACCGAGCTGCTGGGACTCCATTGGAAAGGGGCGTCTTGGGTGGCAGGTGGGGCCCCGACCCAGCCAGGTCCCTGAGAGCCTGGTCCTGTAGGCGTTCCACGTCACCCTTACTCGCGTGGCTCTCGGCACCATTTCAAGTTCGTGAACCCCGGCCCGTCAGGGGATGGACATGTTTCTGAGAAAGCAGTGCTTCTCCAGACTGCATGAAAAAAAATCCTCTGCTTTGGGAATATGATGGTATTATTTTGTCATATACTTCTGAAGTACCGTTTTTTCCCTAGTAGAGTCTGGTATAAAATGTTTTACTTCTTCCTGTGAGGGTGTTACCTTATATGTTGATGGGTAATTGGCTGTCATTTAATTTTAAAAGCAAGGGAAAGAAGCCGTTCCAAAAGTACTTCGTTTGGGAGAAAAAGGCCTGGAAAAATGGACCGTTAACTTTTTTTTTTTTTTAACATGAAGGACCCCTTTGGGAATTGGAGAGCTCTGGGTCCTTCTCCCTGGATATGCCTGCACGTGTACCGCTTTGGCTCAGTTTCTGGGAGTACTGAGAGCCTCTGAAAGCCCATCCATAGCTAAGAACCTAATCCCAGAAGTGATTCTAGAACACACTTATTTGCTCCCTCAGTGATGAGCATATAGGAATACCCTGAGTCTAAATGCCAGGGAGAGAGCAACCCTCAACGTTTTCCTTAACGGTGAATCTCTCCCAAGAGGAGGCTGTGGCAGGGCCTCTGCTTTGTCCACGGCTTTTTTTCAGTCCCCCTTAAAGTGTGCAAATGATTGGGCCCTGGGGGAGCCTCTAGAAGATGCTGCTCACCCTGTGGGAAGCCCCACTTGTAGAGAGTTTGTTCGTGTCCTCACGATATTACCCTGAGGGTGATAGACACGGCAATCTGTGTTGCTTTAGTCTAGTGAAGTCCCTTCTCTTTGAAATGTGTGTATACTTTTTATCTGTAGACATTTTTCCTTTAATCTTTATTTCCCAAATAGCTGCCCTGTTACATGTTGTAGTTAACATCACTTTGGGGCGATAAGGTGCTCAGAGTGGAATTCGGGTAGCGAGCTGAGCAGTCGTAACTTTAGGAATTGACCTGGAGAGGACCAGAGTGAGGCAGTAAGGGGAATGTTCTACACGCCGTCTGCTCTCTAAAGGAACCGTGGCTTTGGAGGAGGGCATTTCCTGTAAGACACTTGGCCTGTTCATGCTCCACCACTGCAGCCTGGGTCCAGTGTGCCAGTCCCCCCAGGGGGGCCCCTGCGACCTCCGTACTGGGTCACGGGTCCACAGTATACCCCAAACCACCACCACCCTGAAGCTCCTGAGTCTGGGGAGCCAAGTGGCTGCAGCCCACACTGTGGCCCGGGCAGCCTCTGTGGGTGTACGCACATGTGTGTCTGTGGTGCCGATTTCACTCAGAGAAAATGCATACGTTCTCGTGTGTGGCCACCTCCCTGGGCTGTTTCATCTAATTATACATCCTTCACGTAAAGCATTTTTTGGAGCTGCCTTTTAGAACTGCCTCCAGAGTCTGTGACATTATTTTAACTATTCTGAGCATCAGCAAGTCATCCTGCTTTGTAAGATGGATTGGATCTTGGAGAAGGTGTTGGAAGTTGTTCAGAGGCAATGGAGATTATGAGGCCAAGAAATAAAATGGTTGGTCCAAGATAGAGCATCAGTGATAAAATAATTCACTTTTTCTTATGTGTCTGACTCCAAGCACATGTCCAAAAAGATTTTTAGCAGGGACAGCAAAACTAGAATTAGCCCTTTAAGGTGGCTCTTTGAAAGGATATCATACTCATCTGGATTTTAAGATGCGTTTTTAAAAAGTAGGCTTATTACGTTCTAGCACACCTCATATAAGTAAGAATGTGCAGTGTATCTTTCAAGTTCATGCTGACATCATGAGATCATTAAATGCACGTTCAGTTATAAAGCTGAGTATCAGCCAAACATTGAGTGACACACTTAATTAGCTAAGTATTGGGTGCCATGTAGAGGTACCATTTGCTCAAAATCAGAATTTCATGTCACCTGTCTAACTGATATGGCATTGTCTAAATTATTAACTTCAAGCCACAAAATTTATTCTGTTATCTGTCCTTCGGAGGATTAATTCGGGAACCTGAGAGCTCTCTGCAGTGCTCAGCCTTTGGCATCTTTTGCTTCAGGTCTGGAGGCTACCAGATGACAAATACCAGTGGGGACAGGACGGGATGGTGGCTCAGCAGGTTTTACTGCAGCCCCATCTCGAGGCAGCTTGCTGTGCTGCGTGGATGGGGAGCAGGCTCCCTGTGCGGTGAGGACACAGACTCCTCGTCTGAGAGCGCCTGGTCTGAGAGCCAGGGAGCCCAGGCACCGTACTGATGGACAGGGACAATAGATGTCTCAGATGGCTGTGTTAGCTTTGGGGATTTGCCTCCCTGACTCCTCATCTCAAGCCCCAATTTGGGCTTTCCTGGGAATAATATTTTGCTGGCACATTTTACATAAAAGAAGATCTCTGTGAGGGCTGCCTAACCATGGAAAAGTTCTGAAATGGCTTTGTGACCAAGGAGCATCCATAAGCATTCCTGGACTAGCCAGGACTCTAATGGAAGGAGGAAGAGTCAGTTAGGTACTGTCCCCATGGCCAGGGACAAGAGGCTTTTGTATCTGCAGGGGGAGTTTCCCTTTAACTGTATGCTCAAGCCTGTTGGCTGAAACGGCTGGCTCTCATGTTTCAGAGCTGGGGTGGAGGAGGATCCCCGTGTCCTGCCAGGGAGGACACTTGCAAGGTCTGCTTACAGTCGGGCTCCTGTTTCAGGGGTGGAGATTTCAGCCCCACCCTTCTAGGGCTGGGGCCTCTGCTGGGCCTTCAAGTCTGCACTCGTGTGTGTACTCTGCCCTTGGGTGCCCTTAGCCCCCATGGGCTAAGAGATGGCTGCCCCTGTGAGCATCAGAGGAAGACCCCAAAAGGGATTGCACCTGTAGGGACAGGACCTAAGTCCCACTGCCTTTCCCTGTCCTGGTAGTTTTGTCCTTATCAGAAACACAAGGCCTCACCTCTGCTTTGTGACCATTTGGTCGCTTAGTAGTGTTCAGAGACTACTCTGTCCCTTGGTCGCTTCATCCCAATGAAGTCTCTGAGCCTCAGAAATGGACCCTGCCTCTCTGCTTCTCTGAAGCAAAGCCACCATCCAGGGAGGGAACTGCCTTTTGTGGGGCCAAAGCTCAGCCAAGAGCCCCGCCCCACCCCACCCCGGGCTGGAGAGGGGCACTTGTCACTGCTGGTGATCTAGTAACCCCCCTGACTCTGGAAACTGAGTATCCAACCGGGAAGGATTAATGAGGGACTTTGCTCATTGATGAGGCTTTGTAATTTATTATTTTTTAAAGATTTTATTTATTTATTTGACAGAGAGAGACACAGCGAGAGAGGGAACACAAGCAGGGGGAGTGGGAGAGGGAGAAGCA